TTTGCAAGTTTTAATGTTATTTGAGCTTCTTAGAAATAGAAAAAGACACCTATTTCCTTAAATAAGGAAACGCAGGGTATGAAAAAGTTAAGTGACTTGATTAAGGGCACTAACTGAGATCATGCCCAAAATTTCTTTTCTTTTCTTTTTTTTCTTTTTATTTTTCTTTCTTTTTCTTTTCTTTTCTTTTTTTAGAGACAGGGTCACCCAGGCTGGAGTACAGTGGAGTAATCATAGCTCACTGCAGCCTCAAACACCTGGGTTCAAGAGATCCTCCCACCTCGGCTTCCTGAGTAGCTGAAACTACAGGTGGGCACCATGATGAATGGCTAATTTAAAAAAATTTTTTTAGAGATGGGGTCTCAGTATGTTGCCCAGGCTGGTCTTGAACTCCTGGGCTCAAGTGATCCTCCTGCCTTGGCCTTCTGAATAGCTGGGATTGCAGGCTCGTCCCATAGCCCGCAGCTTATATTTATTTTTAATTTTGGCAGAGACAGGGTCTCACTCTATTGCCCAGACTGGTGTCAAACTCCTGGGCTCCAGTGATCTTCCCACCTCAGTCTCCTGGCTAGCTGGGACTACAGATTCACTGCCCAAATTTGGACCAGAACTCGGCCTCCTGTTTCCAAGAACCATGAAGCATCTCATACTTTTTTCTCTTCTCAAAAATGTTATCTCACATTTTTCCAGATGCCTTGTTTTTAGCCAAAAAAAACTGAGTTTCCAATTGGGTTTTGGATCTTCCAGGATCCTCTCGGGCACCCTGTTTTAAATATTCCATTTTATATACCTTCTCAGGGGTAGCTTATGAGGTGAATTCACTAAGCATCTGTTATTGTTTTAAAAATCCTAAAAATAGAATGTTTCAGGCACAAAGCACACTTTTCTTTATGCTTTTCACCCCATTAAAGAGGCCTCTGGAAAATTCCAGCGAGATGATACTTAGAGGTTATCCTCTCTGATCTGTCGTTTTTCATTTTTGTTATTATAATCTAGCACCTAGTTATGAATATTCTTTTTTTCCGAGCAACTCACCCCAGGAGTTTCCTGTATAACAAACTGCTCACCAGAGCTCTGACCACAGAACTCAGTGTCTCCGAGTCCTGACACACTGAGCTGAGGACAATGAACCCCAAAGACTCATTGTCC